AGTATGCTCCCATATAAATAATTATATGAACAATCAGAGCTTTGCTGTTCTCGAGAAGAAGAATTTTAAAGAATTTTTCCATTTAATCCTTCTTAAAACTCTGTTTAATCATTATGGCCCCATCATTGCCCCAGGGGTCATAATTTGAAAAAACTTGAATCTACACTACAAGAGGATGCTTCAATATAACTATGACCAATCATTGCTTTGTTGTTCTTGAGAAGAACTTTTTTAAAGATTTTCCTTTGTATTCCTATGTTAAACTTTGATCCCCAATTGTGGCCGAAATCCTACCCCGGGGTCATGATTTGAAAAATTTGAATCTACAATACAAGAGGATACTTCCACTGAACTATGACCAATCATAGATTTTTTCTTTGTATTCCTATGTTAAATTTTGATACTTCACTGTGGCCCCACCCTATCCACGAGGGTCATGATTTGAACAAACTTGAATCTACACTACCTGGGGATGCTTACACATGAGTTTCATCTTTTCTGGCCCAGTGGTTCTTGAGAAGAAGATTTTTAAAACATGTCATTAATTTTTCACTAATTCTTAATTATCCCACCTTGGAAGAGGACCTGGCCCTTTGTTTGTACAAACTTGAATCACCAACATCTAAGGATACTTTGTGGCAAGTATGGTCAAAATTGGCCCAGTGGTTCTTGAGAAGAAGATGAAAATGTGAAAAGTTTACGACAACAGACAAATTTTGATCAGTAAAGCTCACGTGAGCCTTCGGCTCAGGTGAGCTAAAAAGCTGTAGGACACTCAGTATTGTGCCTGTAGGATACTCCTATAGAAAATTTGAAAAAAAAAACATTGTGGTTACTTCTTCTTCATATGCTGCCAATAGATTTACAAAGCCAAACATAGGTAATCAAAGATTACGAAGCTCACCTCAACAAATGTTATCAGTGTAAGTAATGCAAATCTCACATCATATTTTCTTAATAGTTAGTATTTATCCTGACAACAATATTCTGTTCTGCAACTTCTGTTTAACCCCTTACATGGTGTATACACATCATTTCTACACGTCTAGCATGAAAAACATATATAGTGTAAATAAGTATTCATAACTTTGTTAATACTGCATATCTAGGACAAGGAAGTTCATTGGGATTGATCTGTTCCCAAAACTTTAACCTGGTCTCTTGTTTGGAAAATATAGGTCAAATCCAGCATATGAAGCAAGTCTGGTGGTGTCCATCCCTTGATGCACTGTCTATGCAAGTTTGGTTCACGTAGGGCTTATAGTTACTTGGGAATGAAAATGTTGGTCAGATCCAGCATTCTAAGCAAGTCTGGTGTATTAGTGTCCATCCCTAGATGCATCATATATGCAAGTTTGGTCCAGGTAGGGCTTATAGTTACTCGGGAATGAAAATGTAGGTCAGATCCTGCATCTGAAGCAAATCTGGTAGTCTCCATTCCTAGATGCATTATCCATGCAAGTTTTGCTCAGGTAGGGCTTATAATTCCTTGGGAATGGACCTGATCCAAAAACTTTAACCTGGTCACTCATCTGTAAAATGTAGGTCAGATCCAGCATCCGAAGCAAGTCTGGTAGTGTCCATCCCTAGATGCATCATCCATGCAAGTTTGGTTCAGGTAGGGCTTATAGTTATTTGGGAATGAAAATGTAGGTCAGATCCAGCATCCGAAGCAAATCTGGTAGTGGCCATCCCTAAATGCATCACCCATGCAAGTTTGGTCTGGGTAGGGCTTATAGTTCATTGGGAATGGACCTGCTCCAAAAAATTTAACTTGGTCACTCATCTGTAAAATGTAGGTCAGATCCAGTTCTGAAGCAAATCTGGTAGTCTCCATCCCTAGATGCATCATCCATACAAGTTTGGTTCAGTTAGGGCTTATAGTTACTTGGGAATGGACTTGCTCCTAAACCTTTAACCTGGGATGCCGACGCCAACACCGAGGTATAGCATAAGCTCATCTCGACTTCATCCAGGTGAGCTAAAAATGCCTTTTATAGGTGCCAACAAGATTCATTGCACACTACAATCACTACTGGAATCTAAAGTTTGGTTAAAAGGCACAGATTCCAGCAAACAGGGTAACTAAGGGGTGTTTAAGAAAGTTTGTTCTATGGTGAAATATTTTTGACTAGAAATATGTCCATAGGAACATGAATGCCCCGCCGAGGGTATATTAGTAAAGCAACATGAAAATTTGATCAGAATATCTTGAATAGTAATGTAGTTGAATTGCTTACATAAGTATGTATCAGCATATAAAGTTTGACACTAATTTCATTAAAGTGAGGTCAAGGTCAAAGGAAATGCCAAGGTAAAAAAACTGTTAATGCAGTTGAAAAGCTCTCATCAGTATGTTTCACCATATAAAGTTGGAAAAATATCATAAATGGTTTCTTCAAAACTGACTTAAACACAAATGGATAAAAGTGAAGTCATGGTCAAAGGAAAGGTCAAGGTAAAAAATAAGGGATACACTTGAAATGCTTACTAGTACCTTAATATCTATTAGCTTATGACATTTTAAACCAATAAGTACCTGAAATACCTAAATATAGCCATAAAATGACAAAAGTAGGTCACTGTGACCTACTTTTTGACCTATTTTTTAGTCGACATTCTCCGAAAACCCAAGATGCATCTACTGACAAAGTTTGATGATTCTAAGCCAATCAGTACCTGAGATATTCAAAAGTGGGTCACCCTGACCTACTTTTTGGTCAACATGCTCTGAAAACCTAAGATGCATCAAATGACAAAATTTGAAGATTCTAAACCAATTAGTACCTGAGATACCTAAAACTAGCCATAAAATGTCAAAAATAGGTCACTGTGACCTACTTTTTGGTCGACATGCTCCGAAAACCCAAGATGCATCGAACGACAAAGTTTGATGATTCTAAGCCAATAAGTACCTGAGATACTAAAATATAGCCATAAAATGTCAAAAGTAGGTCACTGTGACCTACTTTTTGGTTGTTAATCTCTGAAAACCCAAGATGCATCATCTGACAAATCTTAATGATTCTAAGCCAATTAGTACCCGAGATACTTAAATCTAGCCATAAAATGTCAAAAGTAGGTCACAGTGACCTACTTTGTGGTCGACATTTTCTGAGGACCAAAGATGCATCAACTGACAAAATTTGATGATCATAGGTCTAATAGTATTCAAAATATGCCTTTTAAACAATTTGATAACAACGAAGTTCAAAAAGTAGGTCACAGTGACCTACTTTTTGATAAATATGTTTAAAGGCCTCTAGATGCATCAGCTTACAAGATTTGGTGATTCTAAACCTCTTGATGTCTGAAATAATGGGATTAAATGTTTTAGAATAGATAAGCCATAAAATTCAAAAAGTAGGTCACAATGACCTACTTTTAAGTTGATGTTGTTTGTAGACCCAATGCACCAACTGACAGTTTTATGATCACAGGCCTTAATGTGTCCAAAATATGCCTCCAAATCAATTTGAAAACAAAAGCCCGTAAAATTTAAAAAGTAGGTCACCGTGACCTACTTTTGTATTAACATGATGTCAAGTCCTGAGATACATCAACTTACAAGATTTGATGATCCTAGTCTTTATAGTAAGCAAAATATCAACGTTTTTAACAAGTGTAAATTTTGGTCAAATTTGAAAGTGACCTTGAGACCACGCCCTTTGCCCCAGGGTCATGCCTTGAACAAATTTTTAATCTTCAACATATCCCGACCCTTGTATGTAAATTTGGTGAAAATCTGCCTGGTGGTTCTGGAGAAGAAGATCTTTTAGCAACCAGTACTTTTGGTTTTATTTTCGTGATTATCTCCCCTTGTTTTAGGGTCCCACCCCTAATTTTAGTATAAATGGTAGCCCTTGGACCAAGGATACTCTGTGACAAATTTGACAATAATTGGCCAAGGGGTTCTTGAGTTATGGCCCATATTCTAAAAAGTTAACGCACACCGCATGACGCACAAATGGCCATAGCATTAGCTCTGAGCCTTTGGCTCAGAAGAGCTAAAAAGCTCACTTGAGCCTTCGGCTCAGGTAAGCTGAAAACTGTCCAGGGATTAAAATGTAATTTATACTGATTTTTAAAATAATCATTTCACAAGTTTTAAGAATTTTTTCCCAAGTCGTTTTCATACCTAGCACAGCAAATTTTGTTTTACCCTTTCGTATATTTTTAAACTCACAGAATAACCATAAAAACTAAATTTTATTGATCAACATATTTTTTACAGAATTTTTTTCATTTATAAAAAGTACATAAAACTCATTTTCTCTAAAATACATCTTGAGAAAAATCAATTTTAAAATATATATATAATAAACTCACTACCTTTCAAAAAAATCAAAGTACTGTAGACGTACTTTTTTCCACGGGGTCATAATTCCGCGGAATTCTCATTTCTGTTTAATCCGCGGGTAGAAAATTATGCGGATTTTCTAGATTGTCACTATATCCCTTATATTTATATTAAGTACACTTGGACAAATTTCCGCGGAAAGTTTGTGACCGCGTACAAAGCGTACATTAATACCACGCGGAAAATAGTACTTTTACAGTATTTAAGTTTCAAAGGGGCATTTCAGTAGTTTTAGGGGGTATTTCGGTTATTTCTAGGGGCACTTCGGTAAATCAGGGGCATTTGGGTAATTCGAGGTACCGATGTTAGATTGTCATGGGAAATGATATACGTCGGTGCCTTTGGGGCATCCCTAAAGAAGAGTATGCTGAGGTTTTCTTTGCATGGATACAAGGACATGATGCATGTGTAAAGGGTAACAGGGAATGCTTTGAAGGATTGAAACTATTAATAATATACACTTATCCACTGGGTGTGAGTGGGATAGTTCTTTTATCAAACCCGCGACAGAGAACTATTGCCCGAGGGTAATAGTTTCTGTCAAGGGTTTGTTAAAAGAGCTATCCCACTCACACCCAGTGGATAAGCGTTTTATTATACTGACGTATAATATAATTTCTGCGGTTTGAATTTTTTTGGAGTACGATAATACTGCAAGAATAATTTGAAATTCTGATGACGTCACAATGCTACTGAAGTCATTATGACATCACCAGTCGATAGATTTAACGCTGGTAATCAAAATTGGAGGCAAAAATGGCATGAAAATTTTCCGAGGGTGGATAGCAAAAACTATACCCCGGGGTATAGCTTTGCTATGCGTGAACCATAAAAGATAGCTATTTTACCTTCTGAACTTTATATGGGAAACATTTTAACAGAAGTATAATATGTATTATGTACTTTTTCATATTTATTGAAGACATGTTGCATTATTTATTGAACGACCCTCGTAATAAAAAATATATATATCAGTGACTATGGCTCCTCTGAGAATCAAATACACCATCCTTGATGCAAACTTACTGACAACCATTAGTTACTGTAACTTCAGCATCATAAGACATAACCAAATTAACACTGCAGAGGCCAATTCAGTATATTAGAATCACTCATACTGATAAAGAAAATGTTTTATTTCAGATAAAAATATTAAGTTGTATATTATCATTGGTTGTCATCAAGAAATCAGTTAGTCAAGTGCTCATCAAAAGGCCTAAGCACTGAATGCTAAAATCAGTATTTGAGTACTTGAAAAATAATAAAACCATGCAATATTTCTTGAATTTTTTGAAGCATGTTTTACTTTCAAAGATCATTATATGGTTATCACAATTGCCTTGCGTGGCTATAAGGCCAACTAAGTTTTGACAATTAGCACCTTAGTCAGTGACTGCCCATTTTACAGCAAGGAATATGTCTCCTAACTGGAAATCAAAGTGCAAATAAATTCAATAAAATATAGCATGGTCTCTTTCATTCATTTAGTAGCGAATCTGGGAATATTCTAAATAAACAGGAGATTCTAAATGTACAAAATGTCCATTTCTTGTATGTGAGACTGAATTTACTTACTAGGTGGGACAAACAGTATATCATATCAATCATAGTTATATCAAAATAATACCAGTAAAACAATAATTATTATAATTTTAAATTTCTCCACACAGCAAAATAATGTTATACATGTATTCTGGTTCCTATTTGACAGAGTTACTAGTATTATGGTTTATATGCTTTTGCAAATGGTCAAGAATATGAACACTGAAATTTAAAAAATAGTGTCTTTCATTAAATCAAATCTGAACATTTATCATACATGACTGTATTTACATTTAGGTCCTGAAATTATGGTCTATCAAATGAACAAACAGTATATAAAGATAGGATTAGAATATGATTATCTTTCTTACTTGATGACCATGTACTCAAGCATTCAACCAGAATGCAAGCAAGTAACTGGTTACTAAAATTGAACAAATTGACAACCCTAAGTTATATATTATTTCCCTGAGATAACCTAGTAGGTATAATGTAACATGATCAATATTCAAGGTTCTTATCAGCATCTACATCTAAAAACTCGGCTAGTAAAACAAAAAAGAACATAATTTTTAAGAAAAAAAATCATTACAAACATGTACATCTAAAATCTTAGCTTCTTTTCACATTCCTGATTTTTCACTCTACTAAAACTACAGAAATATGTATAAAAAAAAAAAAAAAAAAAAAAAAGGAATGCCAGAATGAAAATTTGCCAGAATGAAAATTCATTTCAATGAAAAATGTTGATCATTTGTGCATAATGCCAAAATCCAAAGAAAACATAAAAAGCACCTTCTCAGTAACGTAAGCAATTAAATGTAGATTGTAAAATTTGATATGTATTAGTTTAATGTATCAAATCTGCTGCCATTTATGGAGATCATTGTAAAAAGAATGTTGGAGTTGGAAAAAAAGTTTTACTGATCAAATTGAATCAGAAAATTAAATCAGTCTAGACATATATTATTGAGGGAGAAATTCTTTCAAATTTTTCCTTTTATATAAATTTCTAAACATACCAAACGTTTATCAAGTTCCAGCACTGAAACTATAAGCACTATTAGGATATAACTATGTATATAATTATATACATATATCTAAACAAAATTTAAACCGTCTCCCAACATTTCATTTTACCATTTATATTAGAGTGTATGCTTATGAGTACATAACAAACTGACTAGTTCAAAAGAGCTAGGTCAATAAAAAGAAGGCTGCAGAACAAAGAAATAAAAATGTAACATACGGTAATCAAATCTTTACAAGAAGAAAAACTGGTTTAATGATAAGAATACTTTGTCTTCAATGGATTACAAATTATCAATACATGTAATTTGTAGAGTATTTCAAAACAACAGTTTTCACCGGATGATCATTGCACAATAACAAATTCTATATCTTTCAAAATGTTTCAGATCATTTCATCTGTTAAGTGATTACATTATTTCATAGGTACTTGTGTATTTATTTATAGGAACATGTTTATACATGCACATAAATTTGATTTTATTCTCCTTTCTCATAACTTGAAAGACTTGACTCCTCATCTCAATTTCTGATCAATATGTAATGCATCAATAGTGTGATCATATATACATGTATGTGCATGTAAATCTTAAGGGTATGTGTGTTTTAAACATCTCAATACATGAGTGACTAAAAATTACGATATATTTTTATGAAATACATATTTGTATATTACACTGTATAAGTAAAATGTAAGTGTGTGCTTGTAAAACATACATGCACAATGTTTTTTTCCATAAAAGGTAGAGGCAATACAAACAAATAAATGAGCTCCTTAAGGACATATGTAACATAGTTTGAACTTTGTCTTTTTCTATGGAAATGACGAGTTCCAATTCTTGTAGGAACTGTGTTCTACATTTTAATGTCTATATATGGTGTACATTTAACACTTCTTCTAAAACAATTTTGGATAAAAGAAACATCTAGAATATATGTTAAGTATTTTTTATATATTTTTCTTTGAATTACCCAAGAATATTCATCAAATGATATCTTTCAAAACCCCTGGTAGTGCATGCTGATTTTTTGTCTATGAACATCTGATGACACTATGATCTTAAATTAAGATTATCTTGAAAAATTTTAAGTAGGTAAGGTATGTTGCATATGTCCTTAAGTCTTCATTATAAAAATTATACATGGATACTCTAAAAATAATCACACATGTACCACACATTTATATAACTTTTAACAACTGACACCGGCTTTGAAAAAAAAAGTTTTTCAAAGATGATTGAAATTGCAATGTTGTTTAAAAAATTCTAGTGTTACAATAATTAAACTTTATTGCAAAATAAATTTAAATAACAAAAAAAGTATATAGAAAAATTAAACACCGGCTGGACATGTTGGATTTTTCTCAAAGATCATGGCCTTGCCCTCTTTTGTAGGAGGAGTTGTTTTAAAGAGTTTGCCTCTTCCCTCAAAGTCCCTACTTGGGCTCGTAAGATGGCATTTTCTTTTTCCAGAAAACTGGCACGAATAGCAATTTCATCTTCTCTTGCTTTACGGGCATCCCTCGACTTCTTAGCAGCCAAATTATTTCTCTTTCGGCGTTCAAAGTACTTGCCATCCTTCTGTTCATTAGGAATGGGTTTTTTCTCACTGCGTGGTCGCTTCTGTGTCTGCTGCACTGCTGCTAGAGCACGGGCTAGAGTTGGTGAAGATGCTGATGCTGCTGCAGCTGCTGGAAGCACAAAAATAAAGCACATTGAGAACCATATATACAGCACAGGGAAAGAGCACACAAAGAATGGCGCTTATAGGGTTTTATTACTAAAATAATGGCAATTCTACAAATGCAGGGTGAGGTAAATTAATGCCCTGGGTTTGTTCACATGCAGAGTTTAATTCGCAGTAATTTAATGTGAAGTAAACTAATGTGAAGTAATGAGTAAACTTATGCGAATTAAATTGCATTCACACAACAACTAATGCGAAGTAAATTAATGGGAATGAAATTTTGATTCCTAGCTGCAGTAAGGCTATTGACATCTTTTTTCAAAGCATGTCACATATGCAGAGCAAATCCATATGACATGCCAATAAAGTGTTTACACATGTAAGTGATTATAACAACATCTTCCTTTGTTTTTCACTCAAAAATAGCATAGATAACTGTAACTGACCATTGATATGTAGCATATAACTTAAATCTGCCCTTAAGCTTGCATCAGAATTTAATTCGTATTAGCTTCACTTAGCATTCTCACGGAGGTATAATACAGAGTAATTCAATGCGCAGTATTTAACTAATTCAAATCAAACTAAACAGCATTAAATTCTTCCTGTGAACGCTGTTCAAATATAATTCACAGTAACTTACATTTAATTCAAATAAAACTCTCCATGTGAACAGGGCATAATTGTCAGGTAATTAACTGTTAATGACAATATGGAATTCATTGAGGTCTAGCATATGTTGCTTTTTTTGTCTACCTTAATAATATTATTAATATTACACAGAAAAAAAGAGTCTTATTGCCACCAATATATATACTAGTTATTTTATTTCCATATACTCTCATAATCCCACTTCTTTCATTATATTTTGACATGGAAAATGGCAAGCTGATATACAGAACAAATAGTTCAGTATTTTTTCCCTCTCAAGTCACATTTATATGCATGCATCAAAAGTAATCCTACATTACATATTCCAGCCAAATAAAGGCAAATAAATAGCATCAATTATAAAAAGAGCATTTACCAATGAACATAGTAAATGTTAATCATTAGTGCTTAATAATATTAGTGATGCTCTAAGAAGATAAAGAATCTGCATTTAGGGTAAATTAAACCAATCAATCACAAAGTACTTATCAAAATTAGTCTATTATGCATCAGGATACTCAATAAGCATAAAACTAAGGCTCTGCCTACTGAGGAGCTCATCACATTACTGGCTGTGTGCAATATCAACAGATTCTCCTACTTATGATAAGATCACTAGGTACATGTTGTACATTAACGCTATGATTTAACTCTCATCAACCTGTACTTCATCAAATGCTCTACCTCTGACAAACATACAAGTCATCATACCATTCTACATTTCTAAGTGCTTGCCATAAGTTTCAACTTGTAGATCACTAGATTAACAAGTGTGATAAAATAAACATTTCACTTGAGAAAAATCTTACTAAAATGTATAATTTAGATAATTTTTTTCATATTAAAAAAAAAAACGTACACATCCTTGTGTACACATCAGTTAAAATGTATGCAAAACTGAAGAGGATCGGTGTACATAAATCCAAAAAGCACTAGTGAAATGAGATTTGAAAACTGCATTTTCTTTTTTCTTCTGTGATATATGAGTGACATCAACTTTGAACTACCTTAAAACCCAGTGAATGAAACCTAAAGTAACATATTCATTGTTTGTAATCCTTTTAATGTTTTTTCATAAATGTTTAGAATTCTATTATTTGTTTATTATCCCTTTTGGAATTTTCCCCACATATTGAGATGCCACCACTTGCCAGTATATGGCTGCAAATTTAGATCTATACTTGGCATTAGGGCCAAGGATTAGTGAGGGATCTTTTTTGTGCCAGCACATATACTGTGACGTCACAAAGGACCGGTCTTCATGTCCCGCAGTAGGATTCAAGCCCAAGACAAAATAAGGTTAAATCCTTACTCTGTATCTCCAGCGGAAATGCACTCATTATTGTACCATGTTAGCAATGTAATCTTTTATGGTTTATTCAATTAACATTTTATGTTGACCATGTTCAAGGCTTGCTCCATAAGAAATGTCAAAACTGTTTTAAAATCATTATCCATTTCAATTTTTGCTTTAAAATCTTTTTCGAATGATATAAAATACTCTTTAAAATATAAAGATAAAAACACCTTAGTTGTATATTGAAAAATGTAATTAACGTAGTTATGACATTACTTTTTGGTACTCCTTTTTAGTTTATATATATTTATCCACATGCATATCTTCCCTTTCTCTTGCATGTTTCTCTTTAATAATTTTCAATACCACTTTGCTATAAAGTGTCTTGTTTTTATAAGTTGTACTATCAAAATTAATCAAATTTTGATGAATGTTTGCATGCACAGATTTTTGATCATCCAATTATAAAATGATAATTATTACATATTATGATGAAAATATTAATCACAAAGGAAGAACAAGATCCTACACAAAGGGAAACCAACATAGAAACGTCAGAAAGCAACATACAAACCCATAATTACCGGGTAAATAAGATAATCAGAGGTAAACAAACTAGTTGATTATTAATATTGATCAATATTAGCTGTTTAGATTGGTTTCTGAAAAATTGAATTTGTCACAATGTAGCTGTAACTGTATATGTATAAGAAGTTGCAAAGATAGTTTTAATTTTTCTAATGTGTAAACCTTTCAAATATTTCTAAATGTTTTAAATGTAGAAGGAGAGATCACAGTTCCCTTGACAAGCAGAATTCATTACAAGCTTCATATTTTTAAAATATTGCTAAAATGTTTTTCGATCTATACTTTTCACAAATCATGCACCATATTATTTAAATATAAAACTGATATATTTTTTAATAGCACTTGTTAACATTTACTGGGTAATGATATTCATGTGAGGATTTTGTTAACTTCCATCCTCTTACATAAATTCCAATTAATCAAAATTGACAGAGTAAAAAAAAAGTTTTTTTAATTCCCATAAAAATACTAAAAAATAATTCAAAAATTACTTTAAACATAAATATGAACTAAATTGCACATACCTTTTTTAGAATTATTTTCAGAATAATAATTAACAGAAATTTATCCTAATGTTATTTAGACATAATAATACTTTTGTCTATGCATAATTAAGTGGTTTTTTTTTTTAAATATTGAATTTCTATTACAGGTGGTTTTATTGGGGATTTTGATTTCAGTACCTCATTAAAAAAGAATTAAAATAAGAAATCAATTTCTTCCCAGATGAATAAACACAGAAGTGGGTAAGATTACATCATATATACAACTGTAAAGCTATGAGAACAACAAAAGAATAGGACCCACCATTGACACCCTATAACACAAGGCTGGACAGGTTGGAATAATACTATTGTCTTATATAATGTTTGTCTACTTTCAAGTTCAACTGGGGTATTGCCAAATTGTGATAATAGTTACTGTCTGGTTTGCATGTCTGGTTCAAAAATCCATGTACATTACACTGTGGTTACTTCCAACTTTCAAACAATACCCCATAGATCATGACAATCTGCATATCAGTGACTGTACAATTATAAATGTTTGATAAATGTTTTTTGAAAAATACACATTTTACATCATTTATGGAAATTTAAATAATGCTTGACAAATACAATTCATATAATCTGTTATGGTTTGTGTGTGTGTGTGTTTTCTTAAAAAGAAAACTTTATAAAGCGGACTTACATATTTAAAAAAAAAAGGCAATTATCAGTTATAGATAAATCACAGTTATAGAAAAAAATCCTTGAAAAGCATGCAGATTGACTAAATAAATCTAAAGAACAGGATAAACAACAGACAATATGTCAACACAAGGGTATATATAAGTAGAAAATGACTCGCATTACCTAAGCCTTGAAACTGCATGTAAGGATTTAGATAACTGGATGACATAGGTCCTGACTGATAATTGTTTGTATGTAATCCTGTATTTTGTCCCATGTAACCATGACTCATGGAGGGTCCCCCTACCATGGAGGGGCCTGTTGAAGAGCAGTGTCCTTGAGGTATTCCTCCTGATGGCAAATAACCACTACCACCAAGTCCATCTACCATATACGAATCACCAAAGTTAGGCTCCATGCCTAGCTTTCCGTAGCCTCCCTCCAGATTTAATTTAGGGAGTCGAGATTCAGAGGATTTATTTGGATCACAAAAATATTGGTTATAGCTACCTGGACTTTCACGTCCAAGTTTGTTACTATCAAAGCATGGGTTATTACCATATGAAGCCATTCACTAATAACACCAGTAAGCAGACTTCAAGAATGCAAACTTTATGAATCAATTCCACTAAAAAGTTTTACTTTTTCATGAAGAATCACCTCCTTTTCCTTTTTGAATAATTGGACCTCTGCAAATCATTGAGCTAAATCTGTGATGTATTACAAAAGCCAACTGCAGTCTTAAGTAACAGTTCCCGTTAATTCTTCATAATCCTTTTCCAAAAAAGTAAGAAATAAATCTATTACATCAATATCTGTAAAATTCCTGTTCTATGGTCAGTAACAGGTAACAGCCAATAAAAATGATGTAATGTCTCTGACAGACAACAATGCCACCACTAATATCTCTTGGGTAAGTATAAGAACTCTGTGACATAAGAAATCTGTAAACTGTTATAATCCACCATACAATTGTGGACAGAGAAGCTAGGGAAAAAATCACTTCTTTTTAAAGCTGGAGTCTCTCTTCCATAACAGGAGATCACAACCAGTAATACTAACCAAAAGTACTGTACACATGCTTTAAATGAATTCCATGTATAATCACATGATCTTGACTGAGGAAAAAAAAAATATAAACCCAAGGTAGAAACATGACATAGCCTGAGGATTATGTAGGTGCAAGAATCTATCTTAACTTCAAAAAATATTGGCTGGTCACTTCCTGGGTACCTGACAGCCAATAGCTGATTGGCCTGTGATCTGCTGTACACTGACCTCAGGCTGTCGATCTACCTGCCCACTTTTCATTACATCATAGTGACCACTTCCTCTACATCAGTCCTCTAACTAGTCACAGCTGTCGTCAACATGGCCATTACATCCTAGAAACTACATCCTCCTTCAATTTCTCAGACACTGATCAGGAAACATGTCACAATGAAGTCAATACACTGGATTATCTCCCAACTGCCCAGCAGATGCACTTATTCACCATTACAATGGATTAACATTTATCTTCCAAATTACAAACAGTAGTACTGAGCAGTACTAAAATTCACACATAACTATCACTTGTTTACTGAACAAATATGCACCTAGAAGACATATACTTATATTCCACCTCCCAATATGTCAATCATAAACATTACATAATATATTCATATATATCTTATCGCTAAAGAGACATCACAGTAATACTTAATTGATCAACAAAGATTACAAATGACCCTAAAGAGTTGTAAAAAATTTTAATATTAAGAATAGGTATAGGAAAAAAGGGTCAATCCCAAACACTAGCTTGACTGCCTTTATACATTTTTCAAAATAAATAAGTCAATTGTAGTTTTGCTTGTTTTTGTTTTTTATGGATTTTTCTGCTTCATGACTTTTGAATAAAAAAAAAAGATAATTTATGGTATCTAAAATTTATGACTGCTGCATAGATTTATTTCAGCCAGCCAAAATTTAACCCCTTCCATGGCAAAGATTTTAAGCATTTCTAGACAAATTGATATTAAGATTTCAATGCATTTTTTTTAGTATTTCTTGTAGTTTTTGTTGATACCAATGTATATGTATTCTGAAAGTAGGTATTGTGTAGTTTCTAAAAATGATTATTAAAATATCATTTCAGTTGCCATGGCAATGAAATACACCTTAATAATGCTGGAATTTCCATTTATTCAAGAATGAGTTTCATTCTAGTTTTTTTGCTTAGTTAAATATATTAGAAAATATTTTTATTGTTGAGTTGAAAATTATGAGCATGTTGTACATTTTTACAAACCAATTTTAAGTATTTTGGGGGGATAGGGTGGGGTTAGGAGGTAATCATCAGAATTTAGCATTTTTACATATAACGTTACCCCTGCATTGATATCTATAATGGCAAAATTGCTCAAATAGTGCACAAAGTTTAACTCAAGGCAGCAAAAAACTGGTACAACCAATAAAAAAAAATTCTGTATATTATTTTATCGTAAATATTTTCTCTTTTTAAACAGTGCAAGATTTATTCTGATATTTGCAGTATTAACAAAGTTATGAATGTTTTTTCACACTATACTCGTTTTTCAAGTCAAATGCATAGAAATGCGTACATGCCATGTAAGGGTTTAAAGGAGTTAAGATATCTAGATCTTGCAAATAAATCAATAAAAATAAAAAATAGCCTAATCTGCCTATGATATTCCATTTCAATACTTTTGTTAAATTTTGACTGATTTTTATTTTTGTTTATTTAAAAAAAAAAAAATCTCTCAAGAAAATTCTAAGACTATAGAGATGCATGCAAGCATGTTGCTGGATTTAGTAAAAGGTGGTGTGGGTAAAAGCTTCACTAATTTTCAATCAGAAATGGTCTAAGACATTGATGATCAAAGTATAAATGAATTGCTCCATCTTCATTCATCAAAAAATATCTGACTTTCAAAATTAATTGTTTGTTATGTTTTCTAAATCATCTAACCCTTATGGATATTAATTATTATTTGTAAATATGTGTGTATGTGTGTGTGTTGGGGGAGGGGGGGGGGGTGTATGTCATAATGGGATTACTCAAGTGTATATTACAGAACATACAATATAAGAATAATATATGTTCTTATGTATATTGATATATTAAGCTTAAGTTTCTGCAATTTTCACTATATTCAAATTTATTTCAAATGAGTTGAATATTTTTTTAAAAGAGATATATTCTTAGAAATATGATTGTATCATTTGAAAAAATAATTTAAGAAGCAGTATGTCTTATTTATTAATAACCCCCCTCCCAACCCCACAATGAAAAACCCCACACTCCTCTGATCATGGAATGAGGGCTCTACCAACTGAGCTTACCATTTTAAAATAATCTAAGATAATTAACTTGTTAAATTCTTCAATATTAAGCAATATCAAGAAAAAGTAAAACTACAGGTACTTTGCAGTGAGCACTGAGCTCAATAAATGATACCCCCCTGCCTCCCATATGGCATACATGTTAACTCTACCCATTTAAGCGGGAGTCTACCGCTTTTTCAATTCATCTCCCTCCTACCGCTTTTCTACAAATGTTTTGTGATAAGTATTTTTGGTTCGCTTGGGTATCCATTTTGAAGCCACTCCTCATAAAATCTCATTAGATATCGCATGATTTGACCCAGAAGCACACAATTAAACACTTTTTTTTGTACCATTGAATATATACATAAAACTCAGTGACTACATTGGGAATGATAAATTTTGTCCACATCACTGCCAAGAAAAAGGAAATGTAGCATTCTAGAATTAGATGAAATGTTTGACATCGTCTATAAAAGCTATATTGCATCTCTACTTTTGTTTTCGATAATCATGAGAAATCCAGTTTACTTAACGAATAATAAGTACTAGTTTTAAATCAGCATTAAACAATGTCATCATCTGCTGTGTTTGACAGCTGAATGAACATTCAGAATTTAATTTATTGCTTTCAGACTATATCAACAAAGATGACTCTTCTAAAGGCTGTTAAGCATGCAGTCAATCAAAGCAAAATGATGAGCATGAAAATTATTTATATTTTATAATTTACCGTATAATCCCTATTAACCGCCCTGGACACTTAGAAAATTGCAAAAAGGGGGCGGTTATTTTGGTATTCTCTTTGTAATATTTAATATCATATCTAAACTTCAAAAAATACCTAAAAAAAAAAAATAAATTCAAAGAATCTCCAAAATAATGTCTAACTTTACTTCAAATGAAGATAATCCACCCAAAATTTGCTAAATGAATCATTTTCCACCAAAAAATTGGATAATAAACAAGTTTCATTTTCATTCCTTCAAATTTTTGCAGACTTTTGATACGATTCTAGTCTTTCTAGATAATTTTAATCACTGTACAGGGGGCCCTTATTTCCTGACAATTGAAATAGACCTAAGGGGGCGCTTTCAGGGGCAGGGGCAGTAAATAGGGATTATACGGTACATCAAAATTAAGGACAGATGATACAAACTTTCATAAAAAAAATTTGAAAATAACAACTTGGGTCATGTTTAAATGAGTAACATGAATAACTTTCACTGCGTAGTTTTAAACTTTTTATTCAAATTTTCACAAAAATGGAATTTGAAGTGAAAAATATTTGTATAGATTAATAAGGATGGTTTCAGAAGGGCAGACTTTTGAACATCACAGAAGGTTTACAATTTCTTTATATTCTAGGAATTTATTATTTTCATCATTTGCAATGAAATTAGGCCAAAAAATATATACCAATCCAGGCATCCTTTCTTTGTTTGTATCATCTGTCCTTAAGTGTTTCTATCTACTTCATTGCAGTTGATATTTGAGATTATTTATAGCAGTGGTCATTCAAGGCCATATTTACATTATATACATCTTCCTAAATCCATGCGTAAAACAAATTTTAACCATAGAAAAACAATGTTAACCTAGCCCTTTGGGCTCGATAAATCTTTTACTTCTTTAGATTCTGAATCATCGCACTGACCTTAAAGTAACAATAATCGTATAATTTAATGAGATCAAAATATCATCAATTTATTCCCAATTTAGCTCAGGTGAGTATTTTAATTGGCCAATACGTTTCTTTCTTTCTTTTTTTTTTTGCCCCCTAAAAATTTCAACTTTAATCCACAAGGGGTCATTATTCTACGGCGTCATTTTTCTTCACGTAGGGTGGACAAATTTTAGGGTGATGACATTGAAATGAAAAATATAAGAAATTACTGTCTAGTTAGTTGAATATGCCAGGGACATTAACGATAGTTGAAAACGTGGGATAATTTATGCCTGTTAACGGGCTTCGCCCATTACGCAAATTATCCCATGTTTCCAACTATTGTTGAAGCCCTGGCATACTCTACTAACTAGACAGTGATTCCTCAAATATATATTTATTTGTCTTCTTCATGTGTCAAATTACTTTTTCAAATTATTTTCTTTCATCTTAAATCAGAATTCTTCGAAAATATTGTGTGTATGTGTGTATTGTAAATAATGTTCATATACAATTTATTTGTTTATTACTACTACGTACAGTACTGATGTGTAAAGAATTAGATATAAATAATAGATATGGAAACTTTACGAAAAATTCTTCCGAGAACTGGGTACTCGATCAGAAGATTAAACAAGTAACTGGTTATTAAGAATTGTCTGATTTGACAACATTAATTTTTTTGTATATTTATTTTGGAGGTATTTGACACTGCCCCGCTTACCTGGTTTTAGTCGTTACAACTTTTTGCCAGATTTGGTTGACAATTTTAAATCAATTTAATGATGTGCTTGTTAACCTGATTTTTAGTAAGCACTTTATGCATAATCCTAGAATAAATAAATGCTTTAATATATTAAGACTGTTTTTAACAATAAACTGCAGGATGGTTAATAAAATACTGCCTTTGGTCATCCAGAAAAAATATCAATCTTTCAATGACTCATCTATAAGTTGGACATGGATGAGTTTTGGACCAAAATTTCACTCCCCCCCTAAAAAAATCGGACTTATAGGCTAGTATATGTAATACAGTATCTTGTACAAACAAGTGGATGAAATTGTTGTCATAAGTTTTTAACATTCTCTGCAGGCAATGTCACAGGTATATTATGATGCAAAGGATGATTGCACTTAAGAATATGCGAAATTTGCATGAAAATAAACTTTCAAAACAGACATTCTTCATTTAATTGCAGAAATGATCAACACCTTTTCTACAACTTTACTTAATTACAATAAATAAAAGTATGTATTATTTAACGATGTATGAATCTGTTTTCTTAAAGGCTGGGGTCATCACAAATTCTTCAATCTCCATATGATACTGAGGATGCCCACTTTTTTACTGACTTTATACATATAAAGTCAGCGCAAGATTCAATCTCCCATGCAGAGTTGTCGTTCGTTCCTCTCTCAGACACTTCTGCAATGGGCTCACGTCAAGATTTTTGACATACCGTATAAAACGTAATATTTGCAGGATTTTTTCAAATTAAAATAATAGTTCTGGATTTATTTAGTAAATAGCTACCTCAAAACCCAGACATAACCATAGAAATTGAATTATGATGAATTAAAACAAATGCACTATTTCTTGTGTTTATCACTGTGATATACGCGAGCCAACGACAGAGGTGAATGTATGAGCCGATGGTAGAGAGTGCGCAAGATTGTCTGTTGTTCTCCTTTTAACAGTAGTTGTGTATTTGCATAAGTGTTAGAAGATGAATAGACATGCGCTTATAGTTTAAAAGAGAAAAAA